GCTCCGCTCATGAAAGCTGCTTTATCAGATAAAAATGAAAATGTCAGTCGGTTCCCTTCTGAGATTCATTCATATAAAACACCCGCGCTGCGTTTTGATTTTGAAATGTGCAGTGCTCATGTTTATTCAACGAAATCAAACGCCACAAATAAATCAATGTATGGGAAACACTGGTAATGTATATCAAAATATCGGAAATGTGTTTAAAAATCATATCACCGTTATTGAAAAAAATTATATCGCGATACATATTGATATTGAATTATTGTCCAGCCCTATTTACTACACAAGACAATCCCTGTGTACAAATATGCATACTTCCCTGCTATATAGTAGAGGAAAAATAGTATGTAAAATGAGTAGTAAGAATTCATACTGTAGTGTTCATAAAACTGTAGACGAAAAGGACTCAGATGTAACCCTTCTGTCGATATTCCAAAGTGTGCATCTTATGGACATTTTACTATCATGAGGCCATGGGTGTAGAGTTGTGACTAACAGAAAAATGACGCAACTGCCACTGGTGGATTACGTGACGATGACAACATAGCGGCTATAGTACTGTACATCCAGATTTTAATGATACTACACATTCATACTATATAGAACAGACTTTTTAATAGTTGTGAAGTTTGTTTCTTATCAAATGTAGTACCTGCTAGACGGCATGTGATTTCAGACGCACCTAATAACTGTTGTTATTAGAAGTCCAGCAATATCTTTTGTAGCGTTTCAGATAAGACTCATGTTCACTACAAAACTGCCCTTACAAAGCTGCTATCTTGTCAAGAGAAAACGGCGTTGGTGGAGGGTTGAATGCAACAGATTACCTCATGTCTCATTCACCGGTGAAAAAACATTACAGTACGAAGCGCATAATATTACAATAATAACGTCTTTCATTCTCACTCGGTCTGCAATAGAGTAATGGAACGCGTTGATGACGTATCATGTCTGCGCGAACAGGGTGGGCAAGAGGTATGCAAATACATATGTTGACAGGTAGATGTGACAGCCGAGGACCAAGGAATATGATTGGACAAACATTTTATGGTCCTACACCTTCCACAGATGATATAAATACGTTTAGACCACTTAACTTAGTGATTGCTATCGGGATTGAAGAGACTTTCAACCAGAAAAACAAAAAAAATGTTTTTGAACCAAATCACCTACCCTGCCTTATATATATATATATTTTCAAAGGGATAGTTCACCCAAAAATTTAAATTCTGTCATTAATTACTCACCCTCATGTCGTTCCAAACCCCGTTAAGACCTTCGTTCATCTTCGGAACACAAATTAAAGGGGTCATATGATGCTGCTAAAAAGAACATTATTTTGTGTATTTGGTGTAATGAAATGTGTTTATGCTGTTTAAGGTTCAAAAAACACATTATTTTCCACATACTGTAAATGACTGTTTCTCCTCTATGCCCCGCCTTTCTGAAACGCGACGATTTTTACAAAGCTCATCGGTCTGAAAAAGCGAGGTGTGCTGTGATTGGCCAGCTATCCAGTGCGTTGTGATTGGCAACGGGTTTGGAACGACATGAGGGTGAATAATTGATGACAGAATGGAATGAATCAATGTCTTTGACCCATGTAATTTATTTCCCTGTACTTTATAATACCATGGTACGTTTTCAAAAGTACCACTTAAAAAAAGCTTGTGAAGCTAAGAACATTACTAAAGTATAACAAGAGCAATGACTCCCACCACCTGCCTTCTCTCTCTGTTCTCTCTCTCACTGCTTGTCTGGCCTCCATGAACGTCCATGCTCTCACATTACCCTGCTGTTGTAGCAGCATAATCTAAAGACATCTCATGGATATCATAGTACATACAGAGCTGCGTTACTCATATTTGCCTTGGGGAAAAGTTTGAGTGGGCCAGTCATAGCAGACCCGGCTGACCTCGCTGCTTTCAAAGAAATGGCTGCTATTCCTCGGTGCATGGATAACATTTCCGTCAATGAGCACATTGTAGAGCAGATAAGCTCAATTAACCGAGACTGATCCACAGCTATTGATCCAGCCCACTGTGGGCCATTATGAAGCATAATGTCAGAGTGCATAGATTATGCTTGTATTATGTGCATACTTGAGAAGAGGCAGCACAGCGTCTGTTTTCGATTGCTTATTTTTTAAAGGTGTTATGACGTGTATATATAGTTCAGACTAGTATATGTTTATTTGTGTTTATATATGTATATGTGTATAATATAATAGGGCATAATATAAAGGAATACATATTCTATGATTTAAAAGTTTAAATTCCTTTTTTATTTCTCAAGGATGCATTAAATTGATCAAAATGAAGGATTCCTATTTCAAATTAATATTATTCTTTCAAACTTTATATTCATCAAAGAATCCTGAAAAATATATATATCACAGTTTCTGCAAAAATATTAAGTAGCAAACCTGTCTTTCACATTAATAATAAGTGTGACTGCAGAAAATTCAGATTTGCCATCACAGGAATGAATTACATTTTAAAATATATGATCAAATAAATGCAGCCTTGGTGAGCATAATAGGCTTCTTTCAAAAACATAAATTTACGGTTGCTAAACTTTTGAACGATAGTGTATTCCAAATTTTATCAGTATATCCCATTTTTTTTTATCCAGAACAGAATAAAACATTTATAAGTAAAAATGCATTTACATGTTATAAATATTGTATAATATATGAATAGCTAATAAAATATATGAAGGTTTATATGAATATGTAATTAATTTTTTTAACTATCATTCTTAAAAAGAAATTAAATATTTATTTAAAAATTCATATATTTTATTATTTAATAGACATGGACCAAAATCATGGCCCCAAATCTCTCATTGTGTGTGTGTGCACGTCACTGTAGGCCGCCATCCTGATTGTGTGTTTGTGCTGGAAGAGAAGGTCAGTTAATTACCAGCAGATTGGTTTGGGTAATAATGAACCACGAGCGCACACGCTCCACTGATCTGGTCGGGCCTGGTTTGGAAGGGCATGAGCTAATAGAAGGCGAAGGCTCGTGTCTGATCGATCAGAACCCCGCACAGCCAGGTGACGATCAATTACGGCGGAAATTACTGCACAGGTATGTGCTCAGCAGCATCCCGGCCAGCTTCAGCGAAATGTCAGACAATTCACAATCAGGTGCTACACAGCCATTATCGATCTCTGATAAAATAGAATCAGGACGGCTAGAGTAACTGATCTGGGGTCAACTGGATTTAACGTGCTGGACTGAAAGATTACAATTGTAATACGAATGTGGAGTGCTTGTGTGTGTTTGTAGCTTTAGCTCAATCATATTGGCAGAACCGAAGATCAAAATTGTTTTGTGGTTTTAATCGGCGCTTGTTGTTTGCGTCTCATAACCTCTCACCCTCTCCTATGCACTAATTTCACGCCTGCACGCTAAGCATACATTCTCTAATTAGATACACATTTCGCTGGATCAGCTGAGAGATTAGATTAGATATGCATCCAGACAGCAAGAGTGGAGAGGTCTGATTATAAGGGGCTTTTGCTTTCAGAAGGACCCCTTGTGTGAACAAAAAAAAATCTTGGAAGAAGCTGCCTGTCAGTGATGTTCATATGATCCTGTGTCTGATTTTAAGAAACAGATTGTTTATTGTTAGTACCTCGTAGAAAAATGTTAGGAGTTTTCCCAATCTCATTAGTTTAATTTGTCATTTGTGTTCTGTTAGTGATAACATACAAATTAATGTATTGATCAATAGCAAATTAAATGTAATGCAGTCACAATTTTTGCTTAATAATACAGCTTATTACACTCTCTACAACATCAGACATGTTACAGTAATTGATATCATTAGCCTTTGGCTTGCCTTTGTTATCAAACAGTTAATAACGTGTTGCTAATGTTACACAAACCAGGTTCCCGTTCGCCATCTCAGACAGCTGCCTTCTAAAAATCAACATCCTCAGGTAGAAACACTTTGCTAATGATATGTTTGGATTGGTCACATGTTTATGATGGTAGGAAATGGGTGGTTTCAAGCACTTTTTTGAGACTTTGATACACTGCCGTTTTAAGGAGAAAATGCTAAGCAGTGGTGTTGAGTGATGCATTTGCACATGGTTTTTCCATAAGCATATTAAAAATACCAGATAGACATGTAAAGCACATTAAAAACTTGACTTTCACCACTGGGGGTCTTTAATACTTTTATTTAACAAGGACATTGCTCAAAAATTGACAGTAAAGACATTTTATACTATTATAAAAAATATATATATATTTATTTTCTGTGAACTTTCTAATCTCTTTCTATTCACCAGTGTTTCTAAAATATATTGAGCAGCACAACCGTTTTCTTCAACTGTTTTCAAGCACCAAATCAGCATATTAGAATGATTTCTGAAGGATCATGTGACACTGAAGACTTGGAGTAATGATGCTGAAAATTCAGCTTTGCCATCACAGGAATAACATTTTAAATATAATAAAATAGTAAACAGTTATTTGAAGTTGTAAAAATGTTTCTTGGTTAGCTTCTTTCAAAAACATTAAGAATCTAAAACCTAAACTTTTGAATGATAGTGTAAATCACACAGTAAATATTGAAATGGTTTGTTTACTTTTTGTTTAGATTATTAAACTTAATCCATCTTACAAATATGAATTATTTTCATAGTTTTAGATTGAAGGTCTGGGACCAAGGGTAAAACAAATGTGTGTGAAAAGTAACAAAAATACTGTTTTACATGCCTTTTATCCATGGTCAAATTTGTAAGAATAAATCTGTTGGTTTTAATAAAAATCAGCCCAAAAGTTAAGGAACACCCATTAGAAGGATAATGCACACTTAACCAGTCGCACCCTGAAAACGATTATGGTGAACTTCCTTTTTTTACTTTTTAGACTGTAATTTAATGACTTTAATTTGTGAATAGCTTGAAAAACTGCAGTCATTCACAAACCTCCATTTGAAAGTCTAACTGAATTCTCTCTCTCTCTTTCTGTACATTATAGACCCTAACATTGACCTGATTGAGAAGGACATGTCTGTGAACACGGTGGCTGGAGCGATGAAGAGCTTCTTCTCAGAGCTGCCTGATCCTCTGGTACCCTACAGCATGCAGACGGAGCTGGTGGAGGCCTTCAGTGAGTATCAACACGACAGTGAGCAGACGAATGGACCTATGTAGGCTCTCACAATCAATAAAAACACTGATACAGGGAAGGCCAGATGTTTACTGTCAGACAGCAGCATGCTTGGTTGTAGTCCTCTGAGGTTAGTGTGCTCTGGAGATCTCCTCTGCTGGACATCCTGTGTGTGGAGAGCTCTTGTTAGAGGGAGAAAAAGAAAAACAAGGGAGAAGCCAGCGAGTAGAAATGGATTGGGTTTCCGCAGTGCGTTTTCCTGTTGCGCGGTATTATAGTCTTCACTCCCCATTCTTCAATACACACACTCTGTCTCAGTGTGAAGTTCAGCTTTGTCTACTCTAGGCATCGCTCCAAGCCAGCAACACACAAGCGATGAGACTTAAGCCTAAGATTGCCGTTAGTCCTTCACTCCAGACTGTTTCTCAATAAACAAGCCCTTTCAAGTCGTGCCATGCATTAAATAGTTTCACAAACAGCAGGTCTGATTCAGCAGAAAATAAAGCGTAACACCCAAACCTGCACTGGTGGAGTAGAGCACAAAAGAGCAGATTTGATATGTTAAAGATTTAATCTGCCAAATACCAACATAATCAGATACTAATTCAAGCTGTTAATAGTTATCTTTGTGTTTTTCAAACCAAAAATAGATTTGTATGTTTCCTGATGATAATGTGAGGGGATCTTGCCTGTACAAATCTTGACAACATAATGTTGTGGGTGGTTGCCAGGGCGTCGCCGTTCGGTTGCTAGTGTGTTCTGAGCTGTGTTTGATGTGCGGGAAGTTATGCGGCAAAGATTAAAGGGATAGTTCACCCAGAAATCAAACTTGTCATTATTTACTCACCCTCATATCATTGCAAACGTGTTTGAGTTTGTTTCTTCTGTGAAACACAAAAGAAGATATTTTGAAAGATGTCAGCATTTGTTTTGTCCATGCAATGCAAGTCAATGGTAACCAAAACTGTTTTATTAACCACTTGTTAATAGTTTGTCACAACTACACTTACAACCAAACACTATTTACTCTCAATGGGCTTTTGTAATGTTCTTGTATTAAGAAGGAAGGGATAATGGAGGGAGAGGACAGACGGCAGGTCACCTGACTGCCGTGTCACTCTCCGCAGGTGGTGGGCGGGGCTTTGCTCCGGTCCGTCTGTCACTGGACGCCATGGCAACAGCCCAGCAGCCTTGTTCTGTTTTAGTTTCTGGAAACACAGGACGCACATGCACTGCTTTAAGACCTTCTGAATATTCCTTTGCTTTGTTGATCTGCCATCTATTAGATGTCTCAACGGGATATTTAGATTAATGCATTTTCTGATTGGCGGTGGCTGTTTATTCTGATTTGCATATTCAGTCTCAAAATCAACAGTGTCTGGCTATTACTACTGCTAATACTTGAGGTCATGGTTTCAGTCAAGTTTCTAATTTTGAGAATTAAGCCTAAAATATACTTCAGTTTTGACCTGAACGCTTAGATATGCGCACTGCTGAGCCTTTCAAAAAAAAACAAAAATGTCTTTGTATGCACTGAATATGTGCGTTCCTGTGTGTGGACAGTTTGTGTGTACTATGTGGAAAAATTCAAAGCACATGTGTGAGATGAGCGTGCTGAATATGTGTAGTTATAAAAATCGGCCTGTGCCTGTATAGTATTGATGACGAAATGTACATCACACGCGTGCTTACGAATACCCAAGCATACACGTAAAAACCGAAGTATAGTTTGGGCTTTAAACTTAGGCCCAAAGAATCCTTCAGTATTGATGGAAACATGCTAAGTATACTCCGTTTGATAGTGCGCTAACACAGGTGCTAAACATTTGTGCACTATAAAGTTTCATCCTTGTCTAGTGTCTGCGCTATTTCTCTCTTAGAGTTATAACTGATAAAAACATGTATTCTGGAACTCGCTGGAGGGTCAGTAAGCAATGACCCAGAACACTCTACATCTACATCCACTAAAAATCATCCTAGCTAGCAACCATAAAGAAATGACCTGGCATTATGGTGGTTCTGCACATTTTCTTTCTAGTTACTATAGTAATTCTGCATCAGGGGCCACAATGCATAACGCTGATGTCAGTGTGTGAGTGAGACTAGGGAGGAACACATCTGCCGTAGTGGTCACATGTTCTGACACAGGGCTCACAGCGTTAAGGGCTGATGTAAGCCGTTCTGACTCGCTGCAACCATCAAGCTCACTGCACCCAGGGCGTGTGTGTATGTGTGTGTCTCTGTGTGTGACTGCAGTGCACACACTACACATTTATTTCTGTACATGTACTGTTTGTGTGTGTGAGACACTGTGCTTCATTGAACAATACCTCGGTCACTCCAGATGAGACTGATGGGAAGTCTAGTATGCTCGCGCATACACACACACCTTTTCACTGTTACTCCTCCCTAGAGTTGTTGTTTATTGATTTAGGTGGAGTGTGCTGCTTCCTTTGTGCATATTAAAATTCATTATTCCTGAATTATTTCCTCAAGCATCGCTTCCAAGCAATCTGAGGTCCCAAAGCCAAACGTGGATAGTGTTTTAAGAAAGAGTCCCCACACACATTTCATCTGGAGCAGCTAGAGTGATTCAGTTTCTGCACACACATTGAATGAAAGTCTCTATTAATATTCAGCATTTTTCACAAATCTGCTGCAAAATTATGGAGGACTTGGAGTCTGTTTACTATTTTATTGTTTTATTATTTTATTGTTTTATTTTATTTTTTAATGGAATTAAACAGTTTTAAATTGGTCTATTTTTCAATTTAAATTATATGTGAATTTGTATTTATTTTATCTATGTTAAAACATGAATTAAAGAGTTTCTTATCTATTCATTTGTGTTTAAAATCTGATTTATTTCATTTTTTTTTATTTGAAATTGATAACTCATTCTTTTGTTTTATTTTTTTTAAGTGTCACTTTCTAGTCATGCATACAAAAGAGTGCATACATCTTTTTGAAAATTATTTTAAAAATTATTTGCGTGCACTGTTTTTCATCTTTGCGTGCATCTTTGGTTCTACTATATATAATAAAATGGTAAATATAGCAGAATAGGTAACAGTTGCAGATTAAGTTTGAATTAATCTGTCACTAAGCATGGACTAGCTAGTTTGCAAGTATTTACATTTTTGGTACATTTTTTCCCCCTTATATTATTTGCAACATTCAACCCTGTTGTTGGGACTTTGGTAACAGGGTTGAAGGTCAAGCTTGACAAACGCAATGTATTTGTGTAGAAAATTAAAGAAAATGAAACGTGATTGTTTACTTGTAGTTCCACCATGCTGTAGAAATTTGCTAAATTTTCACTTCCAAAATGTTACAACTTGATGAAACTTAAAGAGTGGATCATTATGGTAACAGGGTTGAACACATTGTATATGTGGGACTAGGGGTGTGCGATATTGGCAAAAAAGAATATCTCGATAATTTTCTGGGATTTTATGGATAACGATAATTAGACGATATTTTGCTGAGTGTGGTATTGTGCTGGTACCTTAAGGACTGCCGTGGACAGCTGACTCCTAAAGTTTTTGATATTCTTCATATTCTGTGCAGTGGTCAGTTCACACTGATATAAATTAATCTTTTCCAATAAGTTTTAACTGATTTTTACATTTTATGGGCATTTTGACCTTTATAAAGCCATTTCTTTTCTAAAAGTGTCCATTATCTTTTGAATACTGATATTTCAAATTATTGAAATAATAAAAGATACTCTAAATGTGAAATTAAAACCGCCAGTAGGTGGCAGCAAGTCACTGTTAATAAGTGAGTCATTGCGATTGAACCTAATCATTTAAACGGTTGATTCATTCAGGAACGAAACACCGTCATGTTGCTCAGAGACACAAAACAGAGCTGTGGCTGTATTCGGAATGATATTTGTTGTCGAAATAGAGCAAAAACAGGAAATATGGTGTCTAAAACGTAAGTCTCTTAATTAACTTCTTGTTTATTGAACTGTTGTAAAAAAATCAATATCACATTTGTAATCATTGTCCTTTTTGGAGAAAAAAACGGCACTCTTCATGTGAAATTGATTAACTAGGCTATTTGAAGTGGTATGCATATATAAATTTTCTGCCCCCATGTCTTGAGTTTGTGATGATTCTAAATGTATTGTAATAGACTGCACTCTAAATGCGCACGCGCACTAGTCTAGACTTCACGTAATGTATGCGTGCGCTCTGTAGGGGTGTTTTGAACGTTTTTTGCAAAATACTCGATAATGTCAAATCGCACATCGTTAAAACAACAATTAGGATATTATCGCAGACGATATATATCGCACACCCCTATGTGGGACACAGCTTAATATTATGTTTATGGTTCATACAGTTGTTAATAATTCAAAACATGTCTATCTACTTTCTCTAAATAACTTATGCCTTTTTTACTTTACTGAAACTAATAGAACACAATGTTTGAGATGTCCCGTTAAGAGAGACCTTCACATTACAGAAACACATTGGTCTTGAAGGTCCTTAAGCGTTGAAGCAGTTGTCAAGACTGACTCCTGTGTGTGTCTCTCCATCTATTTGTGTGTTGTGGGACAAGTGAACACCTGTGAAGCATAAAGAAAATAAATGTGTTTGAGTCTCATTCTGTGTTCCCTCTCGGCCCCCTGCAGAAATCAATGATCGAGAGCAGCGTCTCCACACCATGAAGGACGTGCTCCGCAGGTTCCCTCGAGAAAACTGCGAGGTCTTCAAATACGTCATCACTCACCTGAACAAGTGAGAATCAGAGCCATCCCTAGGGCAAGACACGACCAAACTCACTCGCACAAATGTTTTCCATTCTCACTTTTTCTCTCTTTCTATCAGGGTGAGTCAAAACAGCCGCCTGAACCTGATGACCAGCGAGAACTTGTCCATCTGTTTCTGGCCGACACTAATGCGGCCCGATTTCACCACCATGGACGCGCTGACGGCCACACGCACCTACCAGATGATCATCGAGACATTTATCCACCAGTGTGCTTTCTTCTTCTACAATCAGCCTTTGGCCGACACACCCAGCGGCCTGCCTGGACACCCTGCCTTGCCTACCACCACCTTGTCTTCTGCCTCCTCCATACCAGGCTCCGCCTACTCTGTCTGTTACGCCTCATTACACCCCGTAGCCCTGCCCTTCAGCCCAGCCCAACAATCCCCGCCCCATTCTCCACCCCTAACCCCTCAATCCCCAATCCAGAGCCTGCTGCCTTCGCTCCACCCCCATCACACCCCTACGGAACAACACATGCTGTGAACCTGTAGACGAGGAGGAGAACTTTGGGAGCACTGAAAGAGATTAATTGAATGGAAGAAACTTCCAAGGAGATTGCACGGCCGTGCCTGACTTGTCACAAGCAAAAGCAGTAGAGGAACGAGAAAGAAAAAGGTCAAGAGTACATGAGCTACGTCAACCACACTTCATTGCCCACTTTCTGCATCATGCTACTCCATAAATTGCAGCGCCGCTCTGTTCTTGGCCCTTTATGCTCCTCACACACACATAGATAACTGCACGTGAAGTGTGGTAACCCCAAACCCAGATCTCTAATGGGTCCATGTGACGTAGGTGTTGCACTCTTGCTGGTTCAGCATTGTCTTCGTCAGTTGGCGACCAATGGGTGTTGGGGTATATGAACAAATGGGCTGAACCCCACCTCATATTCGGGTGACCACTGTACGCAACCTCTTAGAAATAAGGTTAAGCGGGCCAACAGGGTGGCCTATATATTCACCAGATATTTGTTGTAACTTCCGACCACTGTCATTATCAAATTATGAAAACGAAATGCTTTTTTCCAATGCAGCAACACGACCATATTCCTACTCCTTATTTAATCTGTTTCAGCCTTTTAAAAAAGAGACAAAAATCAAAAGACAAAACTAGAACTTGACGAACTGGATCTAGTTTTGCTGGAATGGTTGTCTGTGGAATACTTTTGCACAGCATTCTGGGATTTGAAGTCTTTTCCTCACCTTTATCCCCTGGCGCACGAGCCTCCAGAACATGCTGGAAGACTAATGCTTCTTTTATTGCAGAATGTCCTCACAACCAGACAACCCTCAGTTTCCTGCTCCACGAGGATCTTCGACTTTGTTCAGTGTCTGTTCATTTGGGAGCTGTATTATTATTCTTATTACACGTTTGCAGGAAGTCCCTCCCTTCTGGCTCATGTTGGATCTGTGGACTGCTTTTTGCGCACATGGTTGGTGAACCAATGAGTGGTGAGTTCTAAGGGATGGGTTAGGTTGTGGTCCACCTGCGTTTGGAGGAGAGGTATGCACTAAATCAAGAGTTACATCACAGATCCGGAAGGTCAAGGATGGTTGCACTAGAGGAGACGCTGTGTCTACCTGTACCTATTCAGATGGCATTGAATCAGTGAGCTGTGGAAGCCTAGAGGAGGATGAGAGTGAAGATAGTGGCATAGCTGGATGAAATAATGGCATTCAGAAAAGATAAAGTCTTCAATGTGTTTGAAAACAGCATGTGGTGCGTTATCAGAGTGAGAGAATATGAGCTTGCAGTTAGTGGCTTTTTGTCAAGACTTCAGAGTTGACCTCAGCAGGATGACATTGTTTATAAAATGCCAGAAGTTTTTTTTTAAAGAAAGATTGGGGGTTAGAAAACCTGGGCACAGAAACGGGAAAGTTAATGAGGTAGCTTGTGAGTAGGCTTTTCCTTCAGTGGGCTCTTGGAGCACAACACTACCACCCAGGGGACAAAGCAGGTATTGCATGATGAAATTCCGCTCGTATTCAGGCTAATGCTACATTTTTGTTTTTCTAGAAACTGCTGGATGCATTCACAATCACCTGATTCACTTTGTAGCAACATGTAGAAAACTTTCAGCATTCAAGTTTATACCAATATTCCCCAGCATTTATACTCCAGATTAGATAACAGATCATTTTCTGTGACTTTTGTGTTTATCAGTTTGTTTTGAGCCGTGGTTTTCAAGCAGGGAGACGTTGTGAAACTGTGAAACAATCACATTTATGGAGATCAATGAATGTATCCCACAGCAGATTTCACTTCATTTTTGTGCACATCTCTCCCTGTAATACATGCTAACCAGTAAGTGAACCACACCTGCCTTGCCCCCTTATAACATGCTAATCTGACATCTGACTGGCTGGGATGAGCTGTAGCTCTTTACCCATTTTTGCTTAAACACTACATCTTTTGCCCTCAGAGAGTAGGAGTAATGGTATATTTTGGGAAATCGGGAGCTGTGTAGCCTATACGCCCCTGGTACTTTGTGTGTGAATTCTGCATTATCTGTATATTTTCAATGTATTCTTTCAGAGCCGCTTGTCCTTCGCAGAAAAAAATAAAACGGCAAAAAAACGAAACAAAAGTAATTAAAAAGTGCAGGGGAAGACGACGTAAAGTGACATGACAAATGTGTATTAAAAATGTGACAGTGGTTCAGCAATTCTATTTGGCTGCATCACTTTATTTTTTGTTTCATTTTCTTTTTTCAACATTGGTGACAGATTGTCTGTTAAGTTAAAGGAGAAAGGAGCAAAACTATATTCAGAATGGTTGTTTATTTGTACGTTAGGGGGTCTGATGCTTTGCCCTGTAGTCAATGGTGATAGAAAAGGTGTTCTTTTTATGTTTTATTTTAATAATTAAAAATGAGACAAAGCATTTTTAACAGTCTTGTTTTGTTTTTGTTTTTTGTGAATGGTGTAAAGGCCACAATGATGTAGTGCATGATTCAAGACCAGGTCAGGGAGAGGGGTCTGCCGCTCTCAGTATTAAAAAAGGAAGACAAAAATAGAATGGAAAAAAATGCAGAAATAAATGAAGTTACATCAATAAAAATACATGTCATTACAAGTTGGTAATTAGTCTCAATGGGAATGGTGTATAAACAGTAAGGCCTTCTGTGACCTGTATTATAGTTAATAAATCAATCTTGTAAAATCGGTCTCATGTCTTTATTTTATAATTGCAGAATGTGCATTAATTCCATTACATTTGTGCTTTTGCTATTTACTCGTACTACTGTTTTCACTTATGTCATCTAGACCAGTGGTTCCCAACCCTGGTCCTTGAGGCACCCCAACACTGCATGTTTTGCATGTCTTCTTAATCAAACACACCTGATTCAGGTCATCAGCTCATTAGTAGAGACTTCAAGACCTGAAATTGGTGTGTCAGAGAAAGGAGACATGCAAAATGTGCAGTGTTGGTGTGCCTCCAGGACCAGGGTTGGGAACCACTGATCTAGACTATCATTCATTAAGAAATTAATTTTATTCGGCGAGGATGCATTAAATTGATCAAATATGACCGTAATGGATTTGACATTGTTAGACAGAAATTCTATTTCAAATAAATACTGTTCTTTTGAACAACTTTCTATTCATCACAGAATTCTGAAAAAAAATTGTATCATGGTTTCCACAAAAATATTAAGAAGAGCAACTGTTTTCAACACTGATAATAAGAAATGTTTCTTGAGGACCAAGCATATCAGAATGATTTCTGAAGGATCACGTGACACTGAAGACTGGAGTAATGATGCTGTAAATTCAGCTTGACCATCACAGGAATAAATTACATTTTAAAATAGAAAACTGATAGTATATCACAACTTTTGACCCGCAGAGTACCAGCATTAAAATTAAAAAAGGTATGTGTAATAAAATTCTTAGTTTTAGATTGAATATATTTGTGTTATACACCGATGGCACTGTCTCACATCTTATATAAACTACCTAGTAACAGCACCATATACTTTATATTGACTATAGTTTCTTTCCAACATCACATTTCAGAACAATCCTGGCTCATACTGGTCATTGGGAATCCTGAACAATATGTTTTGACAGTTCCCCAAAAGGTATATCAATACGGCTGTTATATTTCAAGGTAACCCTGTTAAGATAACCATCTCAGTTTACAGTAAAGAAACGAGTATTTATCAGTTCAATTCTTTTGAGTCTGTAGGTTAACCTATATTTGACAACACAATAGGCACTTTTAACAAATCAGGGCCATATCGGGCCTGAGGCTCTTAAAATCGAGTATATTTTTCTTCTTTTAAATAAAGGCCGGTCAGTGAAATGTTTAAAAATATCTCAAATGAATGAATGGAATATCACTTAAACAGAATTGTCAAAATTACGGCGTTTGATATAATTATTGGATGGATTTTAGAAAGTCAAAACCAACAGGCCACATCATTTTATGGAGGATAGAAATATTTAGTGTCTAAATCCAGCTACTTTTCATAGGATACTTTTATGTTAGATAATAGTTTATCTAGACGATAAGGCCTCACAAAAAAAACATGGCATTTTTACCCCTAAAAGGTTACTACAAGTATAAAAATATAAAAACCGTACCGTATTCGTGGAATATTCCAGTAGTTGGCAATGTGCCTTCAACTGTCCTGCGAAATACACCAAAGCGTTTTCTTCAATGGATTGTGTTCCGATATTTTTTTTAATTACCATAATTACAAGCGAGGTTTATTGGTTATTTATATTTATTACATTTGAGCTGTTGTTGCTACGTTATATGTGTATGCATGTGTGCGTATTGGAGTTTCACATGCAATGACAAAAATGGACCACTAGGTGTCTCGCTTGTTGCACTTTACGAACTGGATCTTTGACATTATATTCTCTCCATATGAATGTTCCTCTGACTCACACCTGTTAACGTTGGTGAATCATTTTCAATAGATATGCATGTTCATAATTTAATGTTCCAGCTCATTTTTAAGTCTTTTGAAGAATGAATGATATGAACACTCATGCTATGTAGAATTTACAAATACTAAAGATTTCATCTTAACGACCTCATATGATTCACATTAATGTGTTTATTTAAAGGCTAAACAAAGAGTCGTTGTTTCATGAATCTTTGGTCTCGGTAGATCAGAAGTCTCGTCTGCAAATTTCCAGAAAGTTTCAGAGTCTGAAAGTAAAGCTGTAAGTCTGAAAAATGATAAGTCGAGGCACGTATCGCTGCTCATCCGTGTCTTTCCGAGTCTTGAATTCAGATGCGGCCGACTCCAAGCGATTCACACCGCCACGGGTGGAGAGGGAAAACAATAAGGCTCTATTTTCAGTCTTACATTTGATTATTGTGATTTCATCATCCAAATTTCAATTCCAGTATCGTCATATTTTTGTAATGTTTATTGAATAACTAGGGAATACAATACTGACATTCAGACATAAGTCAACTAAAGGCATTTTGTTCATTTGAAACACAAAACAATGCATGCAACAATACATTCACAACATTGTCAGCTAATCAACTGTATTTAATCAATTGTATTAAGCTGATCCAGAGAAATATTCAGTGTTGTAAAATTTGTGACAACTTACCCCGGTCCCTCTTATGCCAGAACAGGATAAGACCGATTCCTTAGGCCCATGTTTGTCCTTAGACTACACATCGATTGTCCGGGTCACTGTGGGTGTTTTGATTCTGATACCTCGATTGATGGCAGTGCTGGGAGTAAGGATGCTGTTATTGATCATTTGATGGTCAAATTGATGAATGCTGCTGTAAATGGTGCTGCCACTATCAGCTGAGAACACCCAAGCCCCAGATCACTTTTTCCTATTTGCTTTCCAAAGAGATATATATACACACACACACACACACACACACACACACACTACCATTCAAAAGTTTGGGGTCAGTAATGAATGCTTTTAATCAGCAAGGATGTGTTAAATTGATAAAAAGTTATTCTAAAGACTTTCTATTTTAAATAAATGCTGTTATTTTTAACTTTATTCGTCAAATAATCCTGACAAAAGTATCACATGTTCAAAAATATTAAGCAACACACCTGTTTCCAACACTGATAATAAATCAGCATATTGGAATGATTTTTGAAAGATCATGTAACACTGAAGACTGGAGTAATGAGTAATGATGCTAAAAAAAAGTCAGCTTTGCATCACAGAAATAAATGATATTTTAAAGTATATTAAAATAGAAAACCATTATTTTAAATGGTAATACTATTTTACAATATACTGTTTTTTTCTGTATTTCTGCTCAAATAAATGTAGCCATGATGAACAGAGGAAACTTCTTTAAAACACATAAAAAAAATATATGGTTCTGATTTAAAAAGTGTAAAACATTTAGAAATACTTTTTTGTTGTTGTTGTGAAGAGTCAGCTAAATGGTCTACACTCACATGAGACAAATACTGTACTCATAAAAGTCTTCTATAAAAGGTGTTTTAATTAAAGGGATAGTTCACCCAAAAATGAAAATTTTGTAATCATTTCCTCACCCTCATGTCGTTCCAAACCTGTATAAGTTTCATTCTTATGTTGAACAAAAAAAAGAATATACTTTGAAGAATTTCGACGAACCAAACAGCTGTTGGTCCCCATTGACTTCCTTAGTAAAAGAAATACAATGGGGACCATCAACTGTTTGATTACCAGCATTCTTCAAAATATCTTCTTTTATGTTCAACAAACTCATGCATGTATGAAACCCATACAGATTTGGAATGACATGAGGGTGAGTAAATGATGAAAAATTGTAATTTTTGGGTGAACTAGGCCTATCACTTTAATGTTTACAGGATGAGGGTGGCAGTGAGGGACATTATTTCGCCATATTTGTCACGTCGGAGAAACTACTCGCGTTCATTGGCTGCGGCCTCTGTAGTAGCTAGTGTTGTTGCAAAGAGCGAATATTAGACAGTGAAACAAACTTCAGCCGTACAGAATAAGTAAAGCAGAATAGGTCTGAAGCCAGAAGACAGAAACGCCGTCAATGACAAAAACGAGCGTAAACATCAGTACACGAGGTGAAAAAATGACAACCTGAGAAGTGACACACAAGTCCCTTCTTTGTGTTGGACAGGTAAGAAATTAATTATTGTGTAGACTATCTAAAACTCACTCATATCAGTGTAATTTACATAAAACAAAGATCATCGTTCTGAACCGTGTCAATAGATGGCAGAGGAGCGTCTCTCACAATGCGGCATCGGTAAGTTACTGAAAGTGCACGAAGAACAGCGAAGCCACAATTAAAATGAATGACAAAATATAAAAGTAGGATTTATTTTAAAGTTTGTTGTATATAGTAGTGATGGGAGAAGCTAACCTTTTCGAAGCTTCGAATCAATCGAACTAATTGCTTCGCAAAATGATTCGCTGTTTCGAAGCGCTCGAAACACCACACGCTGGGGACGCCTGCTGGTCAAAACTGTGTAAATGCAACGAAAGCTCAGGCCAAAACATGCATAAAAACATAACAAATAACATTTTAATAGTCTAAACAGGGCAATAAGAGACTATTAAGTACTACTCATCCTTTTAATTACACAAATGTCTCATTAAAAATGTCTACAAATTGATCAAACTGGGGGGCGATCTCAGTGAACTCGCCTGATTCACGGGTTCACAGAGAGCATCGACCCCAGTCGGCAAACCATTGAATTTTCAAAACGTTTCGAAACAGTTTATGACGTCACGAAGCCTCGATTACTGAAATCACGTGACTTTGGCAGTTTGATACGTGCTCCGAACCATTCTTTCGAAACAAATTATTCGCAAAGGTTTCGAAGCTTCAAAAGCGCCCATCACTAGTTTATAATAGCCTAAGTGTAACAGTTAAGCCAAAAAGTCACAAAAAGAAGATTATGAACTTTTAAATCATAAAACCCACATATAGCCTACGGTTTGGACATTTTTAGGTTGTCAGACTCATAAAAGTGACATTAATCTTGAGAAAAGCTTTGCACCATTTGCACAGATGCCTCTTGGTTTT